ACTGTTATGTGGTACATATAGTTTATTGTTAAATAATATAGTTATATGAAGCACGGGTTTTAACTGGTTTAGCTCGTGTTTTTATGTCACACATTGTTGCTGCTAAATTCTTAAAGAACAAATTTAATGAAAGTCTTTTTAATATTTCGTAAAAATTATGTTTAATGAGGAATGTTTGTTTATTTTTGATGATTTAGGGCCCTCCTGTGTCCAGTACAGGTCCACAGCTCATGTCAAACCATCAAGGTAAAGTAAAAAAAATGATTTATGTATTTACATGATTCGAGTCCTGCATATATTAGTAGTCAGTATAGTTTTTCTTGTCTTTCTTTGGACAGCCATGTCCCAGCATGTTAAATACAAACTTAAAAATGGTGTTATTTACTATAATTAAAATATTTCAAGCTTTTGACACCAAAATATATTTGTCATAAACTAGCTAAGAAAACAGAAAGAAACATTCACTAACTTTAAAATATTTCAAGCTTTTTTTACAGTATAAATACATTTGTGATACAACAGCAAAGAAAGCGCAATGAAATATCAACTAACTTTAACAATAGTTTGTATTTATAATTTTTTCTTAGATAATTTGTGTTTGTGGCTATAGAAAGAAGTAAAATAGTTGTCTTTCATCAATCTAAAGCCTGTTAAGTATTTACTAGTCTAATATGAGTGTAAAACTATTTTTTGATGTACTAACCCTAAGTAGACGTAAGAAATTTACTATTATAACTTTTTTACTTTAATAAATAAATTATTACACATTAAGAAAAGTATACAATTATAATAAAATAAAATAGAGTTAATAGAATATAAATAACGTTGACTTAATATCTCTGGATAACTGTATAACTGATTAGGTTTACTCTTGGCGGAAGATGTGAGCTGTATAACTGATTAGGTTTACTCTTGGTGGAAGTTATACAGCTCACATCTGATTAAGTTTACTCTTGGATGGAATATTTATTTGTAGCATTGGTTTTTAAAGATGTTTTGTGGGTCTGTTACACAGGAATTGTTACATTTATGTGTGTGCATCTGTAACCATATCTGTTATTGCACAAACTTGTGTGTGTTTCTTTTAATAACTATGATTTTCAGAGCTAATATTTTTGTAGTGAGTTTTGTTCTCTTTGTTCAGATTCATGTAATTCTGGAGGAGATGCAATGTACACAATGATGAAGTCTGTACCAGGAGGCAATATGCCAGGGGTAAGGAATTTCATACCAAGATAACAATCATTAGGTTAATAAGTAAACTGTTTGGTTTTCTGATCTTTTCAGAGAGGAATATTTTATCTTCTGTGTACAAAATACATTGAAATTTCATTTCATTTTAAAAAGACATTTCTAAAGAAAAGTGTGTATAGTTGGTGTGTGCATAAACAATTAACTTAACTGTTGGTAGTTAGCTATTCAGAAGAATATGGAAGTCTTAGAAGTATAAATACTAGTGCTGGTAGTAGTAGTCTGTTCCATCATCAGACAGTACAACATGGAAATATTTCCAATGTCAGCCCAATTGGAAAAGAGCTTTCAGTCTCAAGAGACGATACTATAAGTAATCTTGAATTTTGTGTCAGTACAAAAAAGCTGGTTTTTAATTCATACAGAATTAAAAATTTGCAATTAAAGTTTATAAAACTTTGTAATTACATGTTTCTATTTGATTATCTGTGTCGGCAATTGTAACAAATGTGTAAAGCTTATCTTTAGACTGTAACTTTTGCTCTGAAATAAAAAATGAAATAACCTGTAGATGTAGTAACCAACAAATGTTTCTTCATTACTGATAACATCGTAAAATACTGTTTTCCAAGTTCAGAATACCCGCTTTTTTTTTTTTACAAAAAGTAATGATAATTTATGATATTAATCACAATTTATAATATTAGTAATATTTCTTTGGTCGATCTTCTTTTCTTTAGTTTCCAATGGGGCCGGGGCCTGATGGTCCTATGGGACCTGACATGGGTGCATCTTTAATGAATGGTATGTATCATTGTGACAAATGTTTATCTGTATAGGTTTGAGTAACGTTTTAACAATAAAAGAACATTACTTGGAGCCTTTTGTCTCAACATAGAAATTAGTTAAAGCTAGAATAGTAGTGATCCATATCTTAATATTTATAATAATAATTAACATAATTAAAATCATTTGCAATAACAGATAAATATTTGAATAACTTTCATTTACTTATATGTGTTTGTATACAATACGCAAAGTATCAGAGATTTGTTGCACAACCACATATACATGTGAGTGCGATATATAAAGTATCTGAGGAATGTTGCACAACCATATATACACGTGAGTGCGATATGTAAAGTATCAGAGATTTGTTGCACAACCATATATACATGTGAGTGTGATATGTAAAGTATCAGAGATTTGTTGCACAACCATATATACACAACATTCCTCCAATACTTTACATATCTCACTCACATGTACATATGGTTGTGCAACATCTCTGATACTTTACATATCACACTCACATGTATATATGGTTGTGCAACATTCCTCGGATACTTTACATATCACACTCACATGTATATATGGTTGTGCAACATTCCTCAGATACTTTACATATCACACTCACATGTATATATGGTTGTGCAACAAATCTCTGATACTTTACATATCCACTCACATGTATATATGGTTGTGCAACATTCCTCGGATACTTTACATATCGCACTCACGCACAACCATATATACATGTGAGTGCGATATGTAAAGTATCAGAGATTTGTTGCACAACCATATATACAAACGTGAGTGAGATATGTAAAGTATCGGAGGAATGTTGCACAACCATATATACACGTGAGTGTGATATGTAAAGTATCGGAGGAATGTTGCACAACCATATGTACACGTGAGTGTGATATGTAAAGTATCAGAGATTTGTTGCACAACCATATATACATGTGAGTGTGATATGTAAAGTATCAGAGATTTGTTGCACAACCATATATACACGTGAGTGAGATATGTAAAGTATCCGAGATTTGTTGCACAACCATATATACACGTGAGTGTGATATGTAAAGTATCGGAGGAATGTTGCACAACCATATATACACGTGAGTGTGATATGTAAAGTATCGGAGGAATGTTGCACAACCATAT